GTTTAGACTCAGACCAAAACCATTGTTTGTTACAGATGAGGGACATTTCAAAACAGTCTGAAATGCAGAATGTCATTAAATCTGTTTGATTTGCTCACACCATTACTTTTTTTGGCACAACTAACATGAACTGGTAGTGGAAGGGAAAATTAGGTAACTCAGCTTTAATTTAGCGAGTGCGCTTCGGGAGAAGACACGGAGGGGACTGAGGCTCCGCAGTCCAGCATCTGCGCTGTACATATTGTGTGCATCGGTTACGCAAAGACACGTACGCACACTAGAGAATAGTTCTGTAATAGTTCTGTGCGTGGTCTTGGATATGATCCCATTACGCAGCGCCGTTCGCCGTGATCACAGCCGCTGTAAGTGGGAACTGTCCCGAGCGCTGTCGCGCCCGCAGCTCATCATGCAGAGTTCATACAGGAAACAACAAGTGCCCCGCGGTCACGCGTGTATTCTTTCAAAACTTGAATTCCCAGAGGGTCTACCTGCTCTGTCCCCATCTTACACACGCGCATGTGTCCGCGGCATTCTGAGTGTTATTATGGGACGCATGGGCATGCGTCAAATGCGTAAATTTGTTTAACGCGATTAATGAAAACAATTAATTAACGTGCGTTAACGCGATAATTTTGACAGCCCTAGTTAAAATGTAAGAAACCCTCTGTTCAATTATATGTGAAATATAAGGGGGTGTTTTAATGAAGCGGATTTGGCATTGAACAAACCCAGTGATGTTCAGCTGATCGATGCCTAAGGTCACATTCTCCCAAACACAGCTCAGGCTCAGAGCTCAGAAGCATTGGATGAAGTCAGCCTTGTGTTCACCGGGTGCCCTCCTGTCCTCATGTTCATTACTCCGCAATGGAAAGAGTTCAACCCACTGAAAAGACATGCTCCCTATTCAACCATTCCAACATACTTTTGAACTGTGCTATGTAACTCACCCTGTTCACACATTCTAGGTGGTAAGATCTGTGAATGTTATCTGACACTACAGTGCCCTCATTACATTTAAAAATAACCCACAAAAGGTGAAATCCTTGAAGTAGCAGCTCTATGTTTTAAGGCTGCAACACCTCTCACATACACTTTTCTAACCACCTGAACTCACAAAATGCTGAAGTGATCAACCATCATTGATTGCTATCGCAGAGATATCAATGATGGTTGTATGTCTGAGCAGCTGTCAAAAGTCATGTAAAATATGTAAAATACAGCTGCAGAGGACACCGCACAGAAGGACAGGATCAGGACTGAGGGCTATGCAAACATCAACCCCTTAATCTATTTCTGGGTCAGGGGGGTGGGAATCAGATCACCCAATTCACATTAGCTAGTTGTGGTCTTTGAGTTTTTTCTTTTACTTTTCACGGCATTGTTTTGGAGTGTGAGGTATCCCCAATGCTTTGAGGTTCCCTGATATGTCTTCATATAATACAGATCAAGCGGTGCAGCCTCTGCTACTGTGGCCTGTCCTGCTCCACCCCCAGCAGATGGCCCACCTCTGCTGTTGTAACCAGTCCTGCTCCGGCGCCCAGTTTCTTATTATTACTTTTACTACTGTTAGCTTTTTAGGATGATCAATTTATTTGTTTTGTTTGTAAGGATGTGTTTTTGCTGCTACTGGACACCTGAACATCTCCTACGGGGATCAATAAATCTATCTTTCTATCTATCATTTCATGGAGTTTGGTCATGAATCTATGATAAAATATAGTTTTACAAATTCGGTGTAAAGATAAGCGTTGCATGGAGGAATAACACCTATGGGAGCTTAAAACCACAATGATCCGAGAAGCCGGCTTAAAACCACAATGATATACACAGCCGCGGCTGTGTATATGTCCCCTGTGGTTAAAAGCTCATATTAGCTTTAGCCACGGCGCTGCATCTGCATCACCAGGTAAGAAAACTGAACCTTCAGAACAGGTAAGAAAACTGAGCATTAATTTAGGCTGGTGATTGTTTTGAGCGTTTTATTAGAGGCTTGTTCCCTGGATAAGTTTTTTTGAAACTTGTGACATAGTAGATGGAGCGGGTCAGAACCTCCTGAGACCCGTGTTCTGCCTCATTCTTATTACTGTCAGTGTGAAGAAAAGTTACTGTCGGTGTGAAGAAAGTTATGAATTGTTTGTTGTGTACAGCACACACAACTACAGCAATGTGCCTCCTATCGTTTTAATTTTGCCTTTTGATGCCTGTGGTTTGTTGACATGTTTGCTTTTATGATGCTGGTTTCTAGATTTGTGCAAATTTTTTCTAAAAGTGTGGTCCTCCATGGTTCCTACTTCAAACTTTTCAGGGCACGGTGGAAGCAACGATATCAGTAGCACCTGTAAAACGAAAACGCAATTCTTTGTTTTAACTTCGGACCATTCAAATAAAAGAAGCAGTGTGTGATTTGCATGAGCTGTGGCTATGATCTATGCAAAGCACGGCACTAATGAAGCATCGAGTACGTCGAGATGGATGAGGCAAAACTTATTGAAAGCAATTGGTAAAAAGGGGTGAAGAGAGAAAAGAACTCCAACATATTCAGGCTTTTTTGAAAGCGAGTCAATATTGACATTACGCAAAAAATAAACGACGACAGATACGATCAGGAAACAATTATTTTAATTTAATACATGAAAATAAATGATGCACATTTTTTGATAATTATTGTCATTTACAAACACACCAAGGACTACAGCATATATCAATACATGTATAATAATGTAGCAAATATATTTTTCCTTTGTATATCCAATGGAAAATGGACCATACACGCATTGACGTATGCTGAAAATAGGATTGTTTCTATTTCGTCTGTCCGCGACCGTTGCACCCTGCGTGGACGCACTGCTCCCTACGCGCGTCATACGGACCCATGTCGCGGGCAGTGGAGCCACTTCCATTCACCCTCATGGTGAAAACGGAAACAGAGATTAAACGGACCTGTTTGGACATAATACGTTTTATGCAGACGGTGGAGCTGGGGTCTTAGGCCACACAGAAACATTTCGAGTTACAGCCAATTTTAATTTGAACTTAAATGTTATTAAAACCGCAAATTTAAAGCTGTGGTTTTAAAACAAAACAAAAATTAACTGCAACTTTAGATTTCTGTGAAAAGTGAAAAAAGAGAGGACAACCCTCACTCAGCCAATCATATCTCAGCGCTAAGCGTCAAAAAGGGCCTTGCAGGGCTTTAATAGGTTTTCTAAAAACATAGATGGGGGTGGGTTATGGAGCTATTATTGTTTCAATAATATTTGTGTGTGCGTAAACAGATTTGTGTGTGCGTAAAAAGATTTGTGCATGCGTAACCAGATTTGTGTGTACGTAAAAAGATTTGCGCGTGCGTAACCAGATTTGTGTGTGTGTAAAATAAATATTTGTGCGTGTGTAAATAGATTTGTATGTACGTATCAAGATTTGTGTGTGCGTAAAAAGATTTGTGTGTGCGCAGAAAGATTTGTGTGTGTGTAAAGAAAAAAAAAATGTACGTTTTACACACAAGTTTTTTTTTTACACACGAATCTTTTGACGCAGTCCTGCCTTCGCAGATTTGCAAGTGTAACTTGGACTGTGTGTGTGCGTAAACAGATTTGTGTTTGTGTAATTTGACATTTGTATCTGTAACAGAACAATCTGTGTGTAAATAACCACGTTGTATGAAGAGAAGAACGGAAAAAAGCCTAAGTGCTACGCACAGGCTCTGTTTTACACACAAATCTCTTTTTGACACACCTCTGCCGCAAAGCGTGTGTCAAAAAGATTCGTAAGTGTAATGTGGTTGTTCTAGCAGTACACCAGCAGATGGTGCTGTTGTAGCTGGTTATTACCTACACGCAAGCAAACCAAAACCTACTGCCTTGACAAGACACACTACCGCAGCTGTTTATGATATGTTTTTCCTATAGTCAAAATCCTGTCATTCACACCACTGTATGATACATGGATCTATTGTAATAACTGCATAGGGTGTTACTAGCTTGGAGCTGAGGGATTCTCGCATACTGCAGACTAAATTCACATGGGCTACACAGACATTTTCCCCATAGAACTCAGCTGACAGAGAACCTAGAGCTTTCATAAAGGTCGGATTTGGTGGGAATTTTAATGTCCCTTGTCATCCTGAACTTTTCTTCTTCTTAAATCCTTCGGTTTTCTTTAAATCTACACGTTAGTTAGTGCCACAAACTCTGCTGGTTTGCTTGCGTGTAGGTAATAACCAGCTACAACAGCACCAACTGCTGGTGTACTGCTAGAACAACCACATTACACTTACGAATCTTTTTGACACACGCTTTGCGGCAGAGGTGTGTCAAAAAGAGATTTGTGTGTAAAACAGAGCCTGTGCGTAGCACTTAGGCTTTTTTCCGTTCTTCTCTTCATACAACGTGGTTATTTACACACAGATTGTTCTGTTACAGATACAAATGTCAAATTACACACACACAAATCTGTTTACGCACACACACAGTCCAAGTTACACTTGCGAATCTGCGAAGGCGTCAAAAGATTCGTGTGTAAAAAAAAAAACTTGTGTGTAAAACGTACTTTTTTTTTCCTTTACACACACACAAATCTTTCTGCGCACACACAAATCTTTTTACGCACACACAAATCTTTTTACGTACACACAAATCTGGTTACGCACGCACAAATCTTTTTACGCACACACAAATATTATTGAAACAATAATAGCTCCATATGGGTCAGAAAGGATTTGGGCCTACGGAGGAAACGTTTGCAAACACAGGGAGAACATGCAAACTCCACACAGATGATGCTATGATGCAAAAGTGCTAATCGCTGTGCCACAGTGCCATCCAATAGCATTACTCCCAGAAGACATTTTGCGACTGTCTGATTTTTTCACTGAATAAAAAATAAAATAATTTATGGAGGTAAAGAGTCAGGAACCCCAACTTTAATTCTACTAAAACAAAGCCATTTCATCTTGATGCGCTTTTTTCTTATACCCATAAACTCATCCGTAAGCCACCTACCTTGAAGTTGCTGGAGTTGACCCAAGAGCTTGCAATGCCGTCCACCATTTTATCCAGCGCTGTTTGGTCCTGCTCCAGGTCATCAGACTTTTCCTTATCCAGGATATAGTCAATAATGTCCTGTCCCACTTGGAGCCTTTTGCCCACATCTTTCTGCAGTACTAGCGACATGCAGTTCTCCACACTGGGCTCCATTGCGGCAGCCTTGGCTTCCAAAAAGGCGTGGATTTGAAGCTAAACCTAATATCGTGTGGGTTGGAGGGATAGATGTTTCTGCAAAAGGGGGGGTTCTCAAAGGGCAAGTGGTTTGGTCATGGTGGAGGATGTCGAAGTGGTCAGGGAATGGTAGCAATGCAGCATGTGCCTAGAGAGCAGCTGGGGAAAGTTCACAGAGCCCTCCCTTCGTGGGGTTGCCAAGAGCGGGACAGGGGCCAAACCCCGACAGAGAGAGGTAGTTTTGGCTCTGGGCAGCAGTGGTCGATCAGAGGAGGAGAGAAGAAGGCTCACAGCTCCATGTTTGGGGTCTTGCCTGGTGTACCCTGTAGGAACATAAAAGGGGGAGATCAATAAGCAGATTTGGTGAAAATGCTGAATTGAATCGTTTTCAGAGGGGATTTCAAAGCAGAACCATTTTATGATTATTGCCATTATAATAAATATCACACATGAATGCCAAGACCTACTCTGTCTTCTTTATGTTTGTGGAAATGTTGTGTTGCATTGCATCTATAATCCCGTTTCCACCAGCACTACTTACCCCTAACCTGACTCTCGCCAGATCCTTGTACTAGTTTGCTAAGCTCCACACAAGGATCTGGGATTTCTCAATAGGAGTAATATTTCAGAAGGTGGGGCCTTCGGTGTGTGATCGGATGAACAAGCAACTCATCTGAAAACTCACCACCACGCGCCGCACAACACCTTTGCTAGCACCGTAGTAGAAAAACAACCAACTCTACAACAAACTTTGGAGAAGGTTTTATATTATTTAAGTTTAAACTTTGTGTGTGACATAATAGCTCTTAAAATCTCAATGCATTGCAATTTCAGCAATTTTTTTCTACCATTTGTATGGCTCTTAGTGTGTGTGCGTTCATGTTTTTACCCTGGTCCAGACCAGAGCAGAGAGGATCAGGAGATAATCCACCGGAAGAATGCTAACTTTTTGAAAAATGCTAATGAAGTATTTAGCATTTTACTTTGGACTAGAGCAGAGAAAATGGTCCAAACCAAGCGGCTACTCCACCTTGTGACCTGTCCTGCTCCACCCAGAGGCTACTCCACCTCTGCTGCTGTGACCCGTCCTGCTCCACCCAGTGGCTACTCCACCTCCACTGCTGTTACCCGTCCTGCTTCATCCAGAGGCTACGCCACCTCTGCTGCTGTGACCCGTCCTGCTCCATCCAGAGGCTACTCAAACTCTGCTGCTGTGACCCGTCCTGCTCCACCCAGTGGCTACTCCCCCTCTACTGCTGTTACCCGTCCTTCTTCATCCAGAGGCTACTCCACCTCTGCTGCTGTGACCCGTCCTGCTCCATCCAAAGGCTAATCCATCTCTATCTATCTTATTGTTGACTATTAAAACAATTGCTAAATTTTTTAACAAATGTAAGCGTATTCATATTGTTGAGAAATGAGGAGTAAAACATTTTATATTTCAGTAGTAGTATTCCATGTACTGTTAACCACTGACTCAATATTGGTTATCGAGCCGTGACTCGAGCTGTGAGTCGCGGCTCAGCAATCATCATAAGCAATAGAATTTATTTTACTTGCACACAATATCTGCTGGCGTACAGTTTTAGTTGAATCCGTCCTTTCTGTTTGAATATCCATTTAGTGCCTCTTTTGCATTACAAAGCTAAATTAATATTGACAATACGGTCAACTTAGTCCCAACAGGTTTCCAACTCAATATCCCTCTTCACTTTGCATGCTCTTATAATCAACTTATTTCCTTATTCACTTAACCTCTCAATTTATAGCAGGGCAATAGCCTCTCACATGGAAATGGAGCCACATCAGAGACTGTGAGCTCATAGATGCTGCAGACAGTGACTCGAGACTGCTGACTCAGGGTGGGACTATATCTGCCAAGAGTGTATAAAAATATAAAAATTAAGCTGGGCGATGGTGGCTCAGTTGGTAGAGCAGTGGCCTTTGAGCCTGAAAGTTCAGGGTTTGAGCCCACCACAAGACTTTCTCCACCGACTCCCACTGATGTCTGCTATTGTTGTGTCCTTGGCAAGACACTTCACCCACATTGCCTAGAATGAGTCTGGTGTGTGTGGATGGTTGGTGGTGGTCGGAGGGGCAGATGGCACATATTTCATTTCATTATATTGAGAACCCCATTAGCTCCTGACTTATTGCAGGAGCTATTCTATCTGAGGTCTCCTTCATTTTATTTACAAATGTTTACAATTACATAACAAAAACAAACAAACAAAACGACACACAAAACACACACTCATAAGACAAATCGTGGGGGCTCATTCACAAATATCTTCTTAAGAACCTAAATTTCTTCTCAAGTCGTTCTTAAGTAGCTTTATAAGAAGAGCCTACGTGGGATTCATCAACGCAATCATAAGTCGCTGAATTGTTCGCAGCTGTTCTCTTAAATTGATGAATGCCATCTCCTCGTAAGTAGAGCGCGTGTGCCCCTTAATGCTCATTAAAGGGACTGCATGGCCGTGTGCAAACGTCAGAGGAAACAGCAACATGCAAATGGTGCTTTCAGACCGCAAACGCTCAAACACTGAAGCCTCGCTCACCAGACGCGCATTCTCTAGTTTTCAGACACACAGGACTCCTGACCAGCGCCGGAAGTGGCGGAAGTAGCCGGTCGGCTCTGATGCTAACAGAGTTATGCTAGAGTAAAACATAGATTTTAGCCTGGGACTCTAAATTTAAAGCCATTTTTATTTGTGTGTAGTGTGTTTTTAGTGTGACCTTGCTTTTAGTGGTTTTAAATACTGGTTTGGGATTGAGCCTGGGACAGTCCTGATTGACAGCCCTCCCCTTGTGATTGATTGGTCAGACTGGAGAAGTTTCCCCTTCAAAACCCGGGCAGAGGGACTGACATAAAGGAGGAAATCGGGAGCGGGTACGGGGAACAAGGACAGAGTACAGAGCGCACGAAGGGCAGCGTATATCCAAGGAGAAGACGGCAGAGCTCACATACAACGCACTATAAAGCCTAGTGTATACTTGCGCGGCGTGGCTTACGTTAGCGGTTGCGGTGGACCTACGTAAGAACAATTGATGTTATACTGGCGCGTTCCCCTTACGGAGTTTTGAGAAGAATTTTGTAATCCCACAACAAACCACATGAGGGCAATCACACAGGAGCGGTCCCATTTACGCTGCTACTTTGTCCTCTTCAGAACAAAAATAGCAAACAACGCTGTTTAGCTCATTACACGTGTTTTTACTGTAGGTTTATGTGATAGTTTTATGGATTCATTATTGTGTAAGTCATTTCAACTGTGATGCTGTGAATAAAGTCACAGTTCTTGTTGGAAAAATAGTTATTATTAAATAGTTTTCAGCACAAACAGCAAAACAATAATAGTGGTAAATATCTGAGACAAACATGAACGATTTACGAGTGCAGGAGGAAAGCAACAAACGCAGCAACGATTCAAATAAAGACAGGAACAGTGCAAAACAAACGACTGCACAGTTTATAAGTTATATATATGTTAGATAGTCCACAGTCTCCTGTATATCTGGCTCTGAGCCCAAACTAGCAGTCTGCTCCATAGTGCCTCGTCCATGTCCCTGCTGCAGCCGCTCTGTGCTTCCTTCCAATACACACACACGGACCAATCACAGCGGCGCTTCCTTGCGGCGACCCTTACGTAGTTAGAAAATTTCGATGCTGCGCGGCAGGCAACGTAAGGGCCTTGCGGTGACCGACGTGTTGCGCAAGTGACATCACGTCACCTCCGTAAGCTCCGCGCCGAGCAAGTATACACTAGGCTTAAAGCTGCACTAACTGACTTTGGGATTTTGAAGTCGCGGACTCTCTGGCCTCTCTCTTTCTGCTCCCCTCCCCGCACCCACGAAGCTATCGCCCCCACACACACCCACTGTTGTTGTTGGAGCTAGCGTCTCTCAATATGGATAATACATGGATATGGATTTGCACGTGGATGGCGTGACCATAGAACGATAGAACCGGGAAGCACGGAGGAATGAGACTTTCTTTTGGATGGCTGCCTCGCTGTGTAAGCAGTAACCGGTGACGAAGACGAGAAAGTTTCTGGTTAGCTCCGCCGCTTGTTGTGCTAACTCAGCCGTCTATGCTAACGGACCTGTAGATTTCTTACGAAAGTGGGGGCTAGTGGTCCGCTGTGATTGGTCACAATCTGCGACCCGAAACACATTCTCTTCCTTGTTTCATCAAAACTCGATCTAAAATATAATGTCACGCCAACACAAATCTGCACTACTTTTTCTTCAAAAGGACGTATATCCCAATGCCCTACACGGACATGGATAGCATTTTCGTAATGAATACAAAAATAAAGTCAGTTAGTGCAGCTTTAAAGCTGAGTATACAGGAGCAACCCTGGACAATTCGTGTGTGTTTATGTGAGACCGGCCTGTGACTGCCCGCTTTACCTACAGCGGACCCACCCGGCCCAGCAGAGCAGCATACCCACCCTGCCCAGCAGAGCGGCGGACCCACCCGGCCCCAGCAGAGCAGAGCAGCGCGCCAGACCCAGCCCCAGCAGAGCCAGATTCCCCTCCCCCCCTTTGACCAGGCCTCTTCAAGACCGTTTAGCCTTATTTTAAGCTTTTAATTGCTGGCTATTTTAAAGCATTTTTAATCATTACTAAATAAAAGTATATATATACCTGGCTTTTTGTGTAAAGATCTTCTCCAATAATGCAGCTTTGCAGGGTGTCTGTTCAGAGACCTTCCACGGACTTTATATAACAGTATGTGTTCACAGGGGTGCGCAATAAGTTTATTTTATTATTAAACGGTACTTTGGCCGGTTCCAGTATGTGCAGTCTGCTCGCTCAGACCACTAATGTCCCTTCGCACGAACGTCCCGAGGAAAGGTTGAGCAAAGTTTATCTCCTGTGGGCGGCGGACCCAGTTTATCTCCGGAGCGGCGGAGCCACCCGGAGCAGCGGACTTGGCTCAGTGGAGCACTTTGTACAACGCCATACAAGCTGAGTATTGCAGGGACGTGAACGAGCAGCCTCAGATTGTGTGTGCGTGCGCAAACTGAGAATAAAGTCATAAAGTCGAAATATTTTGAGAATAAAGTTGAACTGAGACCAATACAGACCCGAAGAGAGACCATAGACTGGAAAGTAGGGATGTAAAAAACTATGAATTTTCATGACCGACCACCGAGCCTCATTAACCGGTTGAAACCGGTTAACCGCGTAGTTTAAAATAGTCCACGTTCTTTGAAATAACAGCCATTTCGAGCCGCGTACTTTTCATAAGTGCAGCTCTGCGTTCTACTGGATCGGAGTTGAGACAGCGGCGCCCAAACCCGCAACAGCTCCGGCACCTTTGCGCACAGAGAACTGCTTTTTTAATCTTCCCATTCTGCTGTGCTGCGGGTTAATACCAAAACTTTCTAGCAGCAAACGACGGCTCGTTCACATGGTCAGAGCAGCGAGTGACAAGCCGCGTCTCACAGGTCTTCACAAAAGTTTAAATACAAGTGATGTGTGTGGAGCTGATCCCGAGGACCATAAACACAAACATGTTCCATGTGGTTTGACTGGAGCCGTGTATTTGCGCGAATCCTTTGGGCTCCGTGACACAGAGGAGCGCGACAGACCGGTATGTGTGTGTGTATGTGTGTGTGTATGTATGTGTGTGTGTATGTATATGTGTGTGTGTGTAAATGTAAGCTCCGATGTAGTTCTGACCCGCGCCAGTGTGCAACTTTGACGGTAACAGAGGGGAGAGATGATGCGTGTGGATGTTACGTATGGAGAGGGGGAAAGTGTGTATGTGTGTGCATATGTGGCTCGTGCGGCGTGAGAGTCGTCCCGGAGTTTATAATACATGGGCGCACACAGCTAGATACAGACCCGCTCGTCACACCGTGCAAATAGGGCTTAAAATAGCGTTATTAAGAGACCTCCCCTCTCCCCTTTTTCTCTTTTTTAACCGACAGCTTTGACCGGTTAACGCTGTGACGGTCAACCACCGGTTAACCGGTCGCCGATTTACATCCCTACTGGAAAGACCAGCACACAGAAACCAGAGCGGACCGAGGAGAGACCGTAGACTGGAGAGCCATAGACTGGAGAGACCGGCGCGCGGAGACCAGCGCAGACAGAAGAGAGACCGCATAGGAGAGACCAAAGACTGGATAAACCATAGACTCGAGAGACCAGCGCAGTCCTGTAATAGATTCGTGGGAGAGACCAGCGCGGAGACTCAGCGCGGACCCCGCAACCTCCTGCAGCAGCAGTATGCCATTGTTTTGTGGCCCATGGATGGACAATTGCCTCATTTAAATAGGAAGGGGTCACTATTACACGGCATGATTTCCATCAAAAATGAATTTAAAAATAGGCTAAATTACCATAAACAATGAAATAAATACATTCATCAATATGACAGACATATCACTGTAATGTTGTATTTTATTGAACTTCACAAAAGAAGACAACACCAGTGTGCCAACATGTCGGCACTGAATGTACTTACCCAAGAGAAATTCTGGATACGAGAACATTTCAAGAATGCCACATTCTTTGTAAATTCCTCATAAGTAGGATTTACGTACAAATTTGTTCTTAAGAACGGTTCGTGAATGAGGCCCATTGTTGTGTCTGCTGCATATATAGCCATGGTTTCATTTTTTAATACTAGGGGAAGATCATTTGTGAAAACAAAAAGGGTCTCAAACTACTTCCCTGGGGCACTCCACAATCCGTACGTCCAACATCAGAATAATTTCTATTAAAATAAACTTTGTACTCCCGATTATTTAGATAACTTTCTAACCACCTTAAGGCAGGCAACTGAAATCCATAACATTTCAACTTATTTACTGAATTGTATGAGCTAAAAGATCAAAAGCCACACTCAAATCTGAAATCTTTACGCCTCCAGAACGTGGAAAAAGACCAGCGTATTGTGGATCTCGCAAGACGAGTGGATGAACTGGAGCAATAAGATAAGATAAGAATTCCTTTATTCGTCCCACAGTGGGGAAATTTCGATGTTGCAGCGCACATATAGGATAAGAGCACACAGGGAGTACACACAATATATACAAATAAGTAGTAGCTATGTTTCTTAGCTAACATAACTAGCTGTAGATGCTGAAAATGCTTCAATACCAGTCAAAAAATATATATGTAGTAGTAGTGTAGTTATATACTGTACAGTTAAATAGTTCAGGATAATAAGTAGATAAGGTAAAGTGACATTCAGTGTTCTGTGACATTCTGAAGTTGCAGTATTGCACATTGCACATGATTTAAGAATTTACTTAATTACAGATGAATGAAATTTACAGGCTCAGCAGTTCTTATTGTACAGTCTGACAGCAGCAGGAAGGAAAGACCTACGGAACCTCTCCTTCACACAGCGAGGGTGAATTAGTCTGTCAGTGACAGACTAATTCACCCTCGGACAGAGGGGAGAAGCCCAGTGAGCAGGAGACACAGTCTACCTCCAAAGCAGGGGGATAGAGATGGACCTGGAGCACCTCGAGGCTTGTCATCCAATACCCGCAAGGAACGAGAGACCACCAGTGGTCATTATGAGGTTTTATGAAATGCTTTCATAACTGAACACTTCGCAAGGATTGCTCGACAACTTAAGAAGCAAGGCAACATTCAACAAACCTGGGTAATCAACTGCAAGATTTTCATCAAACTAAATGGGACTCCAGAGGAAGCAAAAGTCTTGGTAGTGAAGAGGATAGAAGAACTTGAAAAATATCGACACTGACCCAACCCCCAACAACATGTATCTTCTGACATCACATCATCACAATGCTTAATGCACCAATAACACAGACTACACCAAGTATGGATATGGACATGTTACAAATGATCCTACAACATCAGCAAGAGAACCTAGAAACGTGTGAGTATGAAGAGCACACCACAACACAAACCATCACAGAGAGATAATATCTTTCTCTCTACCATTGTCAGAAACTGTAATTACTTAACCCAAGAACAATATGAAAGCAACATCAAATCAGAAGATAAACTGTCAATAATACATTTCAATAGTCGAAGCATGTACACCAACTTTGAGGCTATCAAAGACTACATGAAACAATTCACTTTTCCATTTAGGATTATTGCAATTACTGAAACCTGGTTCAATGATTGATGATGATTATGAACTAAGATATTTAACAGAGTCAATAAAATAGGAGGCGGGATTGCTGTGTACATTCACAAATCTGTTAACTTCAATGTACTAACAAATATGTCCATGGTTGTAGATGGATTATTCGAATGTTTAACAGTGGAAATTCAAAACAATAAAAAGAAAAATATTATAATGAGTTGTGTATACCGGGCACCTGGTTCCAGCATTGAAATGTTCAATAAGTGGATGGGTAAATTATTCTCCACTGTTAAACAGAAAAATATATTTATTTGTGGTGATTTTAACATTGATTTGCTTAATCCATCCACTTTAAAATCTGTTGACTTGTCTTTGTATCCAAGCATAACAAAACCGAGCAGAATAACTTCTCATAGTGCCACAATCATTGACAATATGTGTACTGTTTAACTTGAATAACTTTGTTAATGATGTTGTGAATATTAACTGGGACAGACTTGGTCTAATACCGTCTATACATGAAGCCTGGGACTATTTTTATTCTGAATTTTTAACTGTTATTAACAAACATGCACCTTTGAGAGAAATTAGGATAAAAGGAAACCATCTTCCCTGGGTGAATGGTGAACTGATGAGTCTGTACAGACAACGGGACAAGGCTTGGTCAAAATTCAAGGATTCTAAGCTCACTGCTGACTGGGATGAATATAGACGCCTGCGTAATATCTGCACCACACAAACAAGAAATGCTAGATCTAACTATCACAAAAACAGTTTAACAAATAACTTTAAAAACCCCCAAAAATTTTGGAAACATATTCACAATTTATCAGGTAAATCCAACTCTGCCTTCAATAATATGCTCATCAATGATGTATTCACAAAAGATGCAAACACTATTGCCACTGCTTTTAATCAACATTTCACTCATTTGCCTCAATCACAGTCTACTCCTCATTCCTCTGTTTCTTTCAGTGATGCTACATGTAGGAGCAGTTTCTCCTTCAGGCGAGTTAGTCCTGCTGCAGTGGAACAGATCTTGAATGAACTATCTCTTTGCAGTGCCGGTCCAGATGGCATTGAGGCCAAGTTTATCAAAATGGCCTCCCATGTTCTGTGCTTTCCTCTGGCAGATCTGTTTAACTTATCATTTAATACCTGTGAAGTTCCCTCTGCCTGGAAATGTGCCAAAGTGATCCCCCTTCACAAAGGTGGTGACATTAGTGATATCAATAACTATAGACCCATATCAATTATTAATAGTATTGTAAAAGTTTATGAAAAAGTAGTGTTCAGTCAACTATCAGAATACTTATCTGCCAATAATCTTCTATCTCCATTCCAATCTGGATTCAGGAAACATTATTCCACAGCATCTACATTATTAAAGTTCACGAATGATATATTTTCTGGATTTGATAATAACTTGCTTACAGGTGCATTATTCATTGACCTCACAAAAGCTTTCGATTTGGTCAATCATTATTTGCTTTTAGACAAGCTTCACTCCATTGGACTGGATCGGCCCTCACTCCTCTGGTTTAACTCCTATCTTCATCATCGTCAGCAGTGTGTATTTTTTAATGGCAGCTTCTCTGAGTTTTCATTTATTGAAAGAGGGGTGCCGCAGGGCTCATCACTTGGTCCTCTACTGTTCTCCATATTTATCAATGACCTTCCCCTAGCATGTACAGACTGTCAGATCCAACTTTATGCTGATGATACAGTTATCTATTCATCCAAAGCTAATATTGCTGATATCCAACACTCTATTCAAAATGACTTTAATTCAGTTCAATTATGGCTACAATCAAACAAATTGTTTCTAAACAAATCCAAAACAAATGTTTTACTGTTCCAGAAGAGAGTGTGTCCTGTTTCCAAAAATGGAATTAATCTTGTGTATTCAGATATGTCTCCAGTTCCAGTTGTCGATCGTTTTAAATATCTCGGCGTATGGCTTGATTCTTCTCTGTCCTTTAATATCCATATACAAAACATTACAAACAAAATTTCTTATCGCTTAAAATTACTTTATCAATCGATTAATTGTTTTAGCTTATCAATAAGAAAGAGGATCATTTCTCAACTGATTCTCCCCATTCTTGATTATTGCGATATAATTTATCAAAACACTACTGCCTCTGTTCTTCAGCCTCTGACTGTCTCCTACAACAGCCTGTGCAGGTTCATCCTTCGTTGTCCGTTCAGAACCCATCACTGCCTGATGTATGAGCAGCTGTCATGGCTCTCTCTGTCCTCCAGACGTCAGCTACATTGGCTATTGTTTATTTTCAAATGCATTAATCTCAGTTTTCCAGAATATTTAAAACAATATCTGATTCCTTTCCAATCCTCGTACAGTTTGCGTCATGCAAATCAGTCTTTTTTTGTAGTTCCAAGAGTGAATAAAGAAGCTGGAAAACATGCATTTAAATTTAAAGCTCCGTCTGACTGGAACTGTTTGCCGTTGTCTATTCGCTCTCTAACTTCTCTGCCTCTGTTAAAATCTGCTTTGATACAATATCTCCGGTATTCATGTCAATGTTTTGATCTTAGTTTATGAGACCTAAACTTGTCTTGTCTCCCGATTATTGTTATTACCATCAATATTAATAGTATTATCCATATTTTGTGTAACATCAGTACAGTCACGATGTGTGTGTGTGAGTGATTGTGTGTGTATTTGTTATGGTTGCTTTTTTATTTTTATTTTTTTATTATTACTATTTGTTTTGTGTTTATTTTTTATTTTTTTTATGATTTTCTTTTGTCTTATTTGCATCTGTTTTGCTGTATCTGTCCTTGTGAAATCTTGAGGACCCCCTCGAAAACGAGATGATTCATCTCAAGGGGCTTAAATAAATAAGTAAGGGATAATGTATAGCCTACAGGTCACCTTCAGGGCGGAAGCAGACCCCTCCGCTGCGCGTCGGGGTCCGCTTCGCCCTGTCGGTACTTATTTTCCGATAATGACCTGTAGGCTATACATTATCCCGCTTATTATACTGCTTTGTACCAACTTAACACACAAAATAAACTTCAGATCACTTTTATGAATGCCAAAAGTTTATTTAATGACAACAAATAAAGTAGTCCCAAAAAGTTTTCCCGTTGCTCGGCAACCGCGGGCAACAGTTAGGCTGGCAACTTCCAAACTAGAACTCTCTGGAACTGCATGAAAACTGAACAAAGAATTCTGAACATCAGCGGTGAGTGACCCATACATAAACCTAACCTAATTGAAGCATGAAGCATGCAAGTATAAGTATTCTCCGATTAACATTTAAGTGTGTTGATTGAGCGTGGCTAGCTCCGGAGTGGCCGGAACTACTTGCGGAGTTATCCACGCATTTGAAAGACGAGCAGAGAGAGCGTTGCCAGGGGCAGCGGTCATTATTGTTTTGAGAGGTCCGTTATAGAAAATAATGACCGGTAGAACGTTTTGAAATTACATTCAAATCAATGGAGCATTCTACTGCTGCTGTGAGGAGCCGTATAATAAATAAAATATATTTAGTAACATTATGAGTAATAAATTAACATGTGGCCTATTTATATGTGACATCACTGACCACTTGCCTGTCTTTACGTATCATGTATCATGTTTACATGCATTATACAGTGTACATTAACTTTCTGTCCTTCTCTTTTGGCACTATATGACATATACAGTATACCCTGTACTTATCTGTTCCATTGCCTGAAATAAATTAATAAATGAAATGAATGAATGAATGAAGGGCACAAAAGTGTGACAAAAGGCCAAAAATTTGATTTTAATAATCAGAAGATATTTTATGTTTTTCATGTATCCAAACAACTCCTGAGAAAGTAGGAGCAGATGTGGTTTTCTTTTCAGTTCATTTAATGTACTCTTTTTTTTTTTGGGGCATCAATCACCTTTGTCTTGAAATTGTTAAAGACCACCGCTGCCTTATTTGGATCTTGTTCGTGTGTTACCTTTGACCAAACTATATAGCTTCCTTCTGCTACAAAATCATTCCCTTTGGTAAAAACAAATCGACCCGCCATCTTTAAAACTGGCTGCTCTGCCGTGGATCTATAATAGTCTATAATACGTCCTCCTCACTCCAGAGAAATGGAATCGCACAGAAAGCCGAAGAAATAATTCAAAGGCAGCTCGACGGTCCACTGCAAACGGAACAAGGTTTTCAGGGAGATTGCTCTTGATTTGTGACTAGTCTGTGGTAATCCTGGAAATAACTGGTTAGCTATGTATCCCGTTGGCCCAAAGCTCTAACTGAAATGTATTTACTGTGTAAAAGTTTGATGGTCTGTTGTACACAGTGAGCTAGCTACATTTAGCTATGCCGAAAAGGGGTGTCCGAGTCATTCCTTTAAGACTGCCGAAAGCATTATCAACAACCACTCGCGCCGTGCTGAATTGTCTAT